ATGACACAAATTTTTAGTTTCTTTCCAAAATAGTGGGGAAAAGTGCAGAGCAAACCCCTATTAACCACCCAGCGAGGCGCTGCCCCTCCTGCTCGCAGTGACTAGATTTGTTTGTCTTTCTGATAGGTTGGAAATTGTGTAATAAACTTGATGACGTTGTCAATCTTTTACACGGCGCTTTAGGACTCTTCTGTTGGGTTTTCCTCCCTACGATCATCTTTTAGGTAATGAGCAGTGTGGGAATGGGTTTAAGGCCGCTGCGTGGGAGGGAAGAGCAGAGTTTGGGGACTGTTAGTGCCTCTGGGTCCACCGACCCTGACCTTCATCATCCTCCGACGCTTTGAGGGGCTCCTGCGCCCCCCAAGCCGGCTCAGGGAAGCACTGTGGTGCAGCAGTTGGGTGTTGGAAGCTCCTGAGCGTTTTCATGCTCAACCCGCTGCCCCAGGGGAAGCCACATGCCCAGGCACCACTTAAAAATAAGTATTTATTGGAAAATAGTGAATTCATTCTGAGAAGGCAGTAGAAAAAAAAAAAAAATTAATAATTCTCCGTCCCTTGAACTGACCTGCGCGTCACAAGCCCCAGGGGCCGTGTTCCGGGTGGCAGCGGATCGGTGCTGCCCAGCAGGTCGCTTGCGTGTGCCGCAGGTTAAGCAGAGAGCGGGCAGGGTGGAGAATCTCCCCTGCCTGGGGCTGCCTGTGGGCAGGAGCTGCCTGCTGCTGTGGGCCTGGCTGGTGCTGTGGGCTGGGAGATGGAGCCAGCACCGGGATCGCCGGTTCCCTGCTGCCTCGCATACCTGTGCCGCTCTGTGCCTGGTCCTTTGGCGTGGCGCGGGGCCTCAGTACGAATCCACGCTGCGAAGAAGGAAAGAGAGAGACGTGTCAGCGCCAAACCGGCCTGGCGGCTCACCGCACCGGCTCCTACGGTGTCGCGGAGGTACCTGGAGAAGGAGACCAGCGCGAGGACGCCTAGCAGCAGCTCCGCGGTGTAGAAGAGCAGGAGGATGGCGTTGAGGATGGCTTCCAGGCGCAGGGCGTAGGTCTGCAGCAGCAGGTAATAGGC